AGAGAGAGAGAGAGAGAGAGAGAGAGAGAGAGAGAGAGAGAGAGAGAGAGACCACGGATATCTCACTGGTGTTTTCCATGTGTGGGGGCATAGCCGGACTTGCTTTACTTGTGTTATTTGAAAATCCTGATGAAGAGCAAACTAGAAGAAAGGGAACTGAGTACCACCCCTGATATGGGCAGATGTGGATGTCTTAGGCCGTACTCACACGGGCACTTTTTCCATTGGTCTCTGGGCGTAATTGCCCTCAGATACACCCAGAGAAGGCCTGGTGGGCAACTGCTGTACCCGGATTAGGACCTGGGGCACTCTGGTCTTCTGGTCAGCCATAGCCATGATGTTTTGAGCTGTGTACTGTTCTACGTTTTGATGATTAATGCACATTATGTCCACAAACAGGGGAAGGGGTAGAAATAGGTGGGGGAGGCGTACTTGCTCCATTCAGGATTTGAGCTCATGACCTGATTAGATGTCCACAAACATGGGAAGGGATGGGAATACTTGGGAGAGGGGTATTGAAGCAAATTATGTCCACAAACAGGGAAAGGGGTAGAAATACTTGGGGGAGGGGTACTTGAGCTCCATTGAGTCCATTCCGGATTTGAGCTCATGACCTGATTATGTCCACAAGCATGGGAAGGGGTAGAAAGACCGGCGGAGGAGTACTTGCTCCATTTAGGATTTCACTCATGAACTGATTATCATCAGCATGGAGGATTTAACTCATGACCTGATTACCATCAGCATGTAGGATTTAACTCATGAACTGATTACCATCAGCATGTAGGATTTAACTCATGAACTGATTATCATCAGCATGTAGGATTTAACTCATGAACTGATTACCATCAGCTACATTTGAATAGACAGGCGAAAGAAAATGGACTTATTCTACTTTTGAAGTGGAGGTCCATGGAAAGGGGAGGAATAGAAGTGGCCCCATTTGGGGAAGCGCAAGTGTCAGTCTTGCTTGACTGTAAAAGGTTAAAAAGTACAGAAAACTGGGAAAAAAAAAAAAGTACAGAAGACCAGGAGGCTTGATACAGGCAATTGGAAGGAGCCCGAGTCATCCTACGGTGAAGTTGATACCCAATGGGTCGCATTTGGGGAATGGAGGACTATGCTTGGCTGATTTCCTGTATGTTTTTTTTTTTGAAGGGTAGGCTGGACAGAGGGAGGGGGTTGCTATGAAGAATGTGTGGGCTTTATTGTCAGTCAATCCTGTCTAGAGGAAGCAATCAATGCTGACAGGTATCCCTGGGCCGTAACGCGGGGAAGCATCGTGTTGGTTCGATACTCTAATCTATAGTATTGTTCTCAGGGATGATGGGCCCGGTTCTCAGCAGTTGCCACCCCCCACCAATAGACAGGGGTTCTCCCGGGGGGGGGGGAGAAAGAAAAATAGTGGAGGCAAGTCCTCATTTACCCTCAGGATTTGATTTCATGACCTATGCACTTTCGACTCTTGTGGATAGCACAACCCGAAGTCGTCTTTTATCTTTCAGCATTTGAACTCATGACCCGCTTTTTTCGTCGACCGCTACATGTGCATACCACGAAGGATTTGAATTCGCCGGGGTTCTCCCAAAACCATCCACCATCATGAGAGACCTGATTCAACCTTTGGAACTCAGGATTTTTCGGGACGTCATCAAGGCATCCAGCTGTGTTGCCCAAGCTGGACAGGTAGAGGACCACTGCTCTGGAATTCCAGACACGCCAGAAGCGCTGCGTGGAGACGCAGATGTGTTTCCCTCTGTTTCTTTGTGTTTGTTCGACTTTGTTTCATTGCCATGCACATCAAACAGGATGTACAAGCAGACAAGCAGTCGCTGTCAGAGAAACGTCATGCCATAGGGTTGTATATTACACCCAAATAGATGGAATTGCACCCTCTGTCCTGGTATTGAGTCTATTGAGCATTGGAGATCGACGTACTCTTCTCCCGCAGCGTCAATTGCTACCAGCCTACCACTGTATCCTTGTGGCGACTTCTAAATCCCTCATTTTCTTGCTTTTGCTGCAGGTTTCTGTTTCTCTTGGTCGACAAGGATACCACCAACAATTGCATCAGTTGCAGAGCACCTAGCTAGACACTCAAATTTCTGCAGCTGCCTTGAGCAGTTGTCAGAGGAGTGTCCTTCTGGAAGGCAAAGCCAATCGCACTGGCACGCACTTGGCAAACTTTCTGGGGTATAGTGCTTCCACTCTCGAGTCTTGACAGACTCTGCAGAGCCAGTGCTCGCTGTGAGGTACACAGCTAGAGCAGAGGCCTGTCTGTCGCCATCTTCCTCAGCGCTTTTGTGAATCACATGGTGAGACTTTCCGCGAAGCGTTGTGACTGGTCGTCGATACAAGGTCTTAGAATTTTAACAAAAAGTATTGTCAATTGTCGGCGAGGTGAGTGAACAGAAACACGAGCTCAGTAGTGAGAGAGAGGTCCTTGGGTGTGCAAGGCAAGTGTGTCATCTTCTCTGCAGAATGCTATTTGTAAATGCTCAGCCTCTGCCGTCGCAGATAAGACTCTTGGATCTCGCAATCGAATGGCTAGCAGCCTTGTTGGCATCCATTGAGGTGCGGTGCAGTGTGCAACTGGCTACGGCTGATTCGATCTGACACAGGAGACCATATGCATGCGCAGTTTGTTTGTCCAGACGTCTGCTAAACTTCATCCCCGCTCCCGGAGGTGATCTGACTGGATCTGCACTCCCCCAACAACGGACGGTTCATACAACGAGAGACATGGCAGTTGTCGCGAAGGCCGGTTGTCTTACCCACTCGTGGCAAAGTCTGCAATCCAGTCAGATAGATTTCCAGGTACCTCCTCAGAAGCCGTTCAAGGTGCAGCATGATCTTCAGGCGTGCTTCATTGCCAGTCGGCAGAGAGGCGCTGTCGTTCATCAGAGGCGGCCGACTCACTCACTATTCGTGTGTGTCCCAACACCACGCAGCCATGCAGATTGCGATCAGCAGCTGGTACTGAAAGCGACTGCAACAAAATGCGCGCACCGCTCCTCACGATCATTTGGCAGGAAATCCTCTCTCCATAGTACGAGTCGTCAGGCCAGTCCCTGCACACTGGCCAGGGCACTGCCAGGAGCACAGCAGGCATGTGGAAGGAATGAGAAAGGTTTTCCCTGTGTTGGCCGATTGTCGTGGAGGTCCACAGCTAGTCCCAGACGCAACGGGCTTGAGGTCCAGTTTGCAGATTACTCGGATTTTGCAGTTCCTTGGCGTACTCGATTGTATGGCAACCAGTGGCGTAAGGTCGCAGTTTGCCAGGCAGGAGCGGATTCCCAAAACCAGCAGACAGTGACGATTACCAGATTGACTGTGAAGACACTGAGGGAGTACGGTGCCCAACCGAGGAAAGGCCTTGGGCAGCATTTCATGATCAATGACGAGGTGAATGTGAAGCTGGTGGACACGGCTGACATTGTGCCAGGAGATGTGGTCCTGGAAGTTGGCCCAGGGACTGGCACTCTCACGGAAAGACTGCTGCACGCCGGGGCACTTGTCCTTGCAGTCGAGAAGGATGCCAAGATGATGGAAGCACTACGCTCCCGATTCGCCAATGTACCAGAGGTCGAGCTGGTTCTTGGCGACATTCTGAAGTGGGACATCCGCTATCACTTGTCAAAGGTTTTGTCCGCTCTGGGTAACTCGCGGAGGGCGAAGATCGTATCGAATATGCCATTCAACATCACCTCGGAGTTTCTAATGAATGTGATTCCCATGGGTGATCTTTTCTCGACGATCGTTCTCTTGGTGCAGGAAGAAACTGCAAGGCGGCTGGTGGACTCAGGTCCTGGAGATAGTGGCAAGTATCGCCAAGCGAACGTGATGTTGCGTTTCTTCGGCGAGCCAGAGTACATATTCAGCGTCAGCCGTAAATGCTTTTTCCCCCAACCGAAAGTTGATGCTGCGATACTCAAAGTCACCTTGAGAACACCCGAGGAGTACCCTGTCCTCGTGTCTTCTCACTCGTCCTATCCGTTGACGCTAAGGGCTTTCACCAAAATGGTTGCATCAGCCTTCCAAGGGAAAAGAAAAATGCTAAAGAACTCGCTGAAATCTCTGTACAGTTTAGAGGTCACTTCGGATGTACTTAATAAACTTGAGCTTCCATCAACAGCTCGTCCCGAGGAGCTCTCATTAGACGACTTTGTGAGAATTTTCAATGCATTTGAGAATACTCGCGGAGAATCAAAGGTAATGGCCGAAATGCACGCTGAAACTTCGTCAGATAAGTTGGAGAATTCAGAACAGGTTTAAGAACTGCGGTTTTGTCTCTTTGTCTTTCTTTGTCTTTCTTTGTCTTTTGTTTCTTCTTTTTCCTGGTTGTTGGGTGTGTTGTGTCCTTCCCAAGCTCGTCTTGTGATAATCTGTCTGGTTTGGTTGCCTTTTGTGGCAGAGACGTGACATTGGCACCTGTTGTGTGAGAGATGTGGCATAGTACCCAACAAGGTAAGCATTGCGGATGGTGGAATGGGTGGTATGACGTGGCATCTGGGTCAGGAATTTGATGGGCATGAAGTTGAATTTTGCATGGAAGGCAATCCTGTTCTTTTTTTTTTGCTGGAAGGAAATCTAATTCTAATTATTCTATGCATTTAAATTTTAAACAGTTGAGCAATCAAACAGAACGTTGACACAAAGCTGACGGCCAAATTGTACACAGCAGAACTATGGAATCAAATGCAGGACAGACATAAGCAAATTCCACTGTGTCACGCACGTGACCGAAACATCCACAAGGAATGCTGGAACAATTTCTAGAGCTGAGTTATGGACGATGGTATTGAGGGAAAAACAAATGGCACAGAATTATGCAACACAACATAATTGAACAAAGTTCAACTAGCTATGGGACAAGAAAAAAGGGAGGGCAAGAGAGGAACCGGGGAGGGGTGGGGTGGAGGTGGGCAAGAGAGGTGAGAGATAAAAAGGAAAGAGAGAGAGAGAGAGAGAGAGAGAGAGAGAGAGAGAGAGAGAGAGAGAGAGAGAGAGAGAGAGAGAGAGAGAGAGAGAGAGAGAGACAGGGCCTGGCACTAGGGCACTGCTTTGAGTTACATCTGTGAATGCCAAGGCCTCTCGCACAAGCATATGGGTAGTCGCGCCCGCTTCCTCGCATTCATGCACATCTTTATCAATGAACCGGGCCATTCAACTAGAGCATAAATTTCCCTCACTTTTAATTATGGTGAGAGTATCAGGGTCATGGGGCAGACTTTTGTCGATCCGTGTTGTGATTTTAATATCGAGTTCGTTGTTTTCTCTTGTGCTGTTCTCGTGGCTGAGCCTGTTGTAAAAGTTTACGCTTCTTGACAGCCCCCGCAGTTGACAAATATAGCATCACTTCAAAGATATAGTCCCTTTTCTGCTGGTGGCCATGATTCCACCCCCTGCAGTCGGCAAATATAGCATCTTTTTAAAGATAGTCCCTTTTCTGGTGATCGCCGTGATTCACATTGTCCCCGTTCAGGTATTGGCCTTGAATATTGATTCGCACAATGTCTCCTTTTGATCTATTCCCTGGAGTTCGCATCATTTCCACTGTCTGTGCTTCGTTGTTTCCCTTCATTTGGGATATAACTACACTGTCGGAACGACCCTGCAAGGAATCGAACCGACGATCTCGAGGTCAACAGCCAGACGCCTTAACCGCTGCAACCGTGACCCGGTGTTCAAAAGTGGAACAACCATACCGGTCGTGATATCCACCCCACCCCTGCACGGTTGGTTGCAGTACGCACACACACACACTCTCCCCACATCGCATCCATCGAGATTCGAGACCCTCTTGCAGGGAACTCCATTTGTCAGGATAATTGCAATTGTCGTTGTGCTAGGGATATTATTATAAAGTAATCCGAACACCCAGTGTAGGGAGGAGTGGTGGTTCTGAAAAGTGTGAATTGTGGAGACGGACTAGAAGAATCAAAGAGATTTTTTGAGAAGAGGCCTTGTCGGAAGATCTCTTTTGAGAATACCCCCCCATAGAGAAGGTAGATGGCACTGCAACTGGGTGGGGGAGAGATGAAACCTAGAGGAGTGACGGTTGCGGTAGAGCTCCGAGCCCTGATTCTCAAGTTTGCCTGGGGCGATGTACTGGCGGTTTAATGGCATTTGGAGTGACAGGTGCTTGATCCAGGGCTTTGTATTGTATTCAACATAGTTTTGGTGCCCTGTTGTGGTTGCTGAACCAGAGGAAAGTCCCCACAAAAAATGGAATAAATATAATGCATACACAGTACTACATATCAATCAAACTGAACGGTTCTGAAGCCCTACTTTTTGCTCAGTCAATCCCCTGGATCCCAGGGTAATCAATGCTGGCAGGAACATCACACAATCCTGTTTTGATACATTCCAAACTCATTTTGTATATGGGACGCTGGACCCATTTTCCAGCAGGTGCTGTTCCCTGCCAATAGATGGAGCCTCTCCCCAGGTGCTAGTGGTGTCTGCTCTTATCAGCACCACTAACACTGGSGGGGGGGTTTGGGAAARGAAAAAAAAAAAAAAAAAAAAAAAAAAAAAAAGACAGACTTTCTCCTCGTTAATACTGCAGCCGACACAATTTATACAAACATTTACTATTGTTTTATTATGATTACAATTATGATAACCTTAAAAGTTAAAACATTATAAAGCGCGTATTTGGGCCCGAGTGTGCTGAACTTGGGATCTTGTCTGTTCATTCTTTTAGTTCTGACGGACCAGAGTCCTTCGGGACATCTGTTAAAATTGGAACGATACAGAGAAAAAAGATTAGCATGGCCCCTGCGCAAGGACGACTCGCATAAATCGAGAAATGGTCCAAATTAAAAAAAAAAAGAAAGGTTCTGACGGACCAGACATTCATCTGACTGCTCTTGGAACTGATCAACTGGACATCAGAGGCCGTTTTCATTATTTCTGTTGAGATGGTTGTGCCCTGCCTCAACAGTTTTCAAGACGTATCCGCCAGGCTGCTACCGATTGAAAATTTCCAAATATTGGCATTGCAAAGATTTGTTTGATCTTAGTCCACCAGGATTTATTTAAACTTAGGTCTGTTTATTAACAAGGCACGGGATTACCATTCAGCTGCATGAGCTGGGTACCTGCCTGCTCCTCAACTCTGTCGTCTCTGCAACGCAACCTGTGACTGGCCTGCAACACAACCCGGTTAACTACGCGTTAAATATATTTTTAGCCGTAATTAAGATTTCAATCACGTACTTAACCCACTCGATCTACCCTGACTCTTAGCGCTGATGAAGACTTGATTACCTCGTTAATTATGAGACTCGACTGCAACTGCAGTGAAAGTTCTTTTTTTTTGGCTCTCTTTTCAACTTGGAATTTCTGCAATCTTCTGTTTTGGGGGGAGTTTCTATTGGAAAGGAATCCGTAATCTGCAAATTCGTAATTAATACTTACTGTCGGAATTTTTTTCCTTTTCTGGGCGCAAGTCCAATTGTTTTTGAATTTCTGCTAAATTTGAACCTTGCTGCAAACACTTCTTTATTTATTTTTGTTCTCATTAAGTCTATATGTCAACGAACTCTTCGGAGTAATTGCAGTCTTGATACAGACCATTTCACAGTCAAGTATGGTCTGAGTCAATCTCCCTACCCTACTTGCTTCAAAATGAAAATTTGGAAATCCTTGTTATTTTTAAGATCGGTCCCTGAGAGTTATTTTGCCTTGATTAGGCCCCAACAGACTTCTGATTGTTGAACCCCGTTGGGGAGGGAAAATGCTGCTCTGAAGTTTTGTGCTTGCATGATTCTTCCCCACCTCCCTCCCTGTTGTCCTCTGAGCTGTGGGGCTGAAGGCCTGACAAGTGCCATGTCAGCATTGTTGACACGTGAGCAGCAGTGCCATGTCATCAGACATGTCAGCAGCTGTGTCAGATCATCCTTGCCACGTCTGCAACTACATCAGCACCGGTGTCATGTCATCCATGCCACATCATCAGACATGTCAGCAGACACATAAGCCGTAGTGCCATGTCAGAAGCATGGCTTCGGCAGCCGGTATTGCACTCATGCCCGGCCCGCAGCCCAATGAGACGCTGTCTGACTTCTTGGCCCGCATGCGCTCTATCATGGAGCAGACCGAGGCTGCGCAATAATGCCGCCAGTACGAAGAGGAAGCCCGACTGAGGCGGGAAGCTGAGGTCGCAGCCCAACAGCAGTGGCGGCAGGAGGCTGCCGAGGAGGATGCACATGCTCTCTGCAAGGAAGCATGAGACAAGCTCCGCAAGAATGAAGCCCGGCTGGCCAAACGGCTTGCAGCCTGGCACTTCAACCCCTCCGTGGAACAAGCGGATCCCACCAAGGACGACAAGACCAAAGAGTTCGTCGCCAAGATGATCCTCAGATTGATGAACACCTGCAAATCAGCAGCAGGACGAGATCACCAATCTGGCCAAGGCTATCCACAACCTTCAGGTCCAGCTCAACGACAAACTGCGCGCCATCAACACGCGAATGGTCGACTTGGACAGAAGCCCCATACCACGACCCACTTCGTGGTCTGGTACCAGTGCCTCCTCCACTGCCACCAATCGTCAGTTGGAGGAACCCATTGACCATGTGGTTACCACGATCAACGACCGTTCGTAGCTCCGGCGACAATCAGCTAGCAGCTCATTTCGTTGAAGATCGATGTTCGCCAGTTGCAGCAGCAACCAGCGGCAGCAGCAGCACCACCACGCCACGTCCGTACAAGATGTTGATCTTCTGGATTGAGAAGTTCGACGACTACCACCAGCAAGACTCCGTAACTTGGTGGCAAGCATTCACGATGGAGATGGGGATTCACAAAGTCCCTGACCACCTCAAGATTTCGGCTCTCTACCTCAACACAAAGGGGGGATGCCAAGCATGGTTAAACCGTATGGCGACCACCAAATGGGTCCCCGTCGCCGATTTGCACACCAAAGTTATATGGGAAGCCTTGGCGAAGGAATGGAAGAAACGGTTAATCATAGACGACACTCCGACTCGCGGTGCCAACAGCGTCTTCAGCATCATTCAAGACAACATGTCTATGCGTGATTGGCTCACCAAACGGCAGAAAATTGTGGCCATACCCAACTTGTATATGCCACTGTCTCACCTTCGGCGAGTTCTACAACCGATCGTGTGAAGCCTTGAATCAAGCACTTGGTGACCGCACGCGAGAGGTGCACAACCGGTGGAACTTGCGTACGTTGTGGATGTGTGCTCTCTGGCTTCCGCGTGCTATGCAGCGTACTGCGTTTCCCTTTGAGAAGACCAAAGGGCAGGAAGCAGCCTTTGCCTGGGAGGAGTTGAGATTGGTTAGGATAAGGAGATGGTACTCTCTGCTGCAGAATGGAGTTTTATCTACTCAGTTTGTAAGCTGAAGGTTGATGAGAGATGCCTCTCTTCTAACGGTATGTCTGTTTCCTCCTAGAAGGCCTCCTTCGTGGGTTTCTCAATTACGTCGATGAACGAACAGTGTCTACTCAAGGGTTCCGCGTTCGGCGTTTCCGTCAATATTGGTTATATTCAGGTATAAGGGAGTGGAGCACTTTATGGTTTTATCCTAATATATATGCCTCGGATATTTATACATGGAATCTTTATCTAGGACAATATCCACCTAAGTTTAACCATGTATTTCGGTGCCTTGACTTTTTCTTATCGTGTACGATCGGTTTTGACCTTTTCTTTTGATTAGGGTTAGTCCTTTT